TATAAGGTTTAGTGAGAGAATATTTGGTAAATGTAATACTTACAAAGATTTTGTTGTAAGTGTGCCTACTTAGACACTATTTTTGTCTTTGTATCAATATCTTAGCCATGATAAAAGATCAATAATTTTGCCTGGCTTGTGTGGCTCAGTGGTTGAGTGTCAACCCATGAACCAAGAGGGTGAGGTGAGGTTCCTGGTTAGAGCACATGCCCAGATTGGGGACTCAATTTCCAGTGGGGGGCATGCAGGAAGAGGCCGATCAATGGTTCTCTGTCAACCATTGATGTTTCTATCTCTTCCTCTCCCTTCCTCTCCAAAATCAATAAAAATATATATTTTTAAAAAATCAATGATGTTACTCAAAGGGTGGAAAAAGCTGAACTGGCCTAAAGATTTTCCCCAAGCAGTGCTCTTACAATACTTCAAGGAGTTACTGGGACATAGAGTAACTGAGTTCCTGAAAAACAAACCAATTCCTAAAGGTGAATTTTCTTTTAAAAATTATATAGAGTTGAGTGAAGAAGATAAAAAAAAGTAAGATGGGGGTGGGATGTTTTGCATAATATTGTCTGGACCTATTGGAATCTATAGATTGCTTGATTTATGTGAGAAGATCACGTTGGACTACATCGACGGATCTCCAAAGTTGTCCACTTAAGGAAATGGCTCACAAGAAAGTTCCGAAGGCCATTTGAGAACCAGGAGCTTATTCTTTAGCCTTTGTCTTTAATTTGTCTGAGAAACACTTTGGGAACTGTGGTAGGAGAGGTGGCAACTTCACAAGCTCCCATTCTGGTTCTTAGAACCCATCTTTTTCAGCCTTTTAATATTACCAACCAGGAAACTGAGGCCCTGTGAGATGATGCAAGTTGATTGGATCACCAGCTAGTTCTGGGGAGAGCTAGGACTACTGTCCCATTTAACAAATGTTTATGAAGCACCTGGTATATGCGATGCATCCAGTTCAGTGCTTGTTACACCGCTGTGAGCTATCCTTCATGAATTATAATAACATGGAAAGAGCTTGTCAGGATTTATAATTTTTTTTCTCTATCTTAAAAAAAGAAGCCTCTCTGAACTTATCACTGAGATGTTCAAGGAAATTCACTAGCTGTAATGACAGGGAAGAGTCCTAGTCAGAATCAGCAGTGAGCAGCTGTATGCCAGTGCGTGACGCGTTGCCACTGAGAGGGAGATTTCCATGCGAAAGTGGGACCAGAGGTCAGGGACCAAATACAAGGGTCAAATGTAAAGTAAGAACAATTAATGTGTCTGGACACAAATTAATTGAGTTCTTACCAGATAAATAGTCAGGTCATACTGACACTTGAAGTCAACATTGCAATAGCCGGGAAAGAGAGGGCACTGAATCAGTTACATCTTTATTCCAAAGAGAACGGATGCTGCTGTTGTCAAGTACAAACTCTTGTCAGATGCCTTTACCTGCTCAGATCTCCAGTTACTGTTCAAAGTTCAACTTTCGCTAGATGTGAATTGCACAATTATGCCAGCTTCTCAGGTTCAATTCAGACAACATCAGAGAAAAAGGAACCATGTTCAGTAGAAATAAGCAAAAGCTGTTTGCTCTTCTGGAGTGTAGGAGAAACAAAGCATGTCGAAGTGGGACAAGACAAGAGATACTACCTAGAAAAACTGCCTTCTGATACGCCGATATCAACGAAATTTGCTCTCCTCTTACAACTAAAAATTTTCAAAAATTCTAAGCCAGAGAGACAGCAGTTTAAGGCACTCTACTAAAGTTTTCAGTGTTGTTTCTAGAATAAAAAAAGCCCAACCTTTGTGAATCAGAGTCATGCTGTCTGGCCATAAAACAGGGACTTCTTTTGTACATATAATATCTTTGGGCAAATTAGGAAAAAGTGTCTTACATAAAAGGCGTCTCCTTTGAGTGGACGAATTGGAGCCCAGCACTGGGGCTCAGGTCTTGGGATCAGAGAAAGAGCTGGATGGATCTCAATCCAAACGTGGTCTTTTGTCTCTGTACTTTGTGCAGGGCATGGTTTTACCTATAGGTTCTCCCTTGAAACTTTATGATTTTCTGAACTTCTCTCCTGGTCACTATAAGCTGTCTTGGGCCTTTTGTCAGACCTGGGGGTTATTGCAAAGGTGTGAATTAGCAGTTGCCTAAGGCATCAGAGTATGGAGTAGGGGGAGGGTGCCAGGGAATCCAAAAAGACAATGTCTATGGACAAAGAAGAAGCAGAGGACCAGGGGGTCCAGGTGAAGGCAGAACCCAAAGGAACTGGTCAGAAAGGCAAAATTTAACCAGATAAATCAGGTCAGAAAGGCAGGTTCTGAAGGGAAGATGGGAAGTAGGCTGGATGATTCTTAAAGGGGCAGAGCCTGTCAGCATGCTGAGCTGGATTAGAGGCATCAGTAATATTTATCAGCGGAGTTTTGGGGGGAGGAAACCAACTATAAGTGCTAGCTAGCTTTGGAGCAGCACCACCTGGGGTCTAATTCTAATAGGGCTCTGGCTAAAAACTCACTTATTCTTCACTTCTTTTTTCCACTCAGATCCCACATTCTATCCACTAGAAAAACCTGTGGTCTCTACTTTCAAAATATATCCAGACTGTGACCACTTTTCACTGCTACTACTTTTGTCCAAGCCATCAAGACAATATTCTAGCCCATCTCTGCTTTTGCCCTTGCTTGTTTCATGCCATGAGTTTATTCTTATCACACGGGCGTTCTAAAGGACCTTGCACTCCTTCGCACTCAGAGCAAAACCCTGAGTCGTTACAATGTCTTACAAGACCTATGTGATCTGAACCCTTGTCTTCTTAGACCTCATCTCTTAACATACACCACTCGACTATCGCTTGAGCCATACTGTCCTGTTTGCTTCTGCTTGAGGAAGACTTTTGCCTCAAGGTCTGTCTTTGCACATTCGGATTCCTCTATCTCAGGGAACACCCTTCCCTCTATTAATCATTTCTTTCAAGTTTCTTCTACAAATGCCATCCAGAAGGGGACTTCAGATCATCCCATGTAAAATAGAAACCCACTACCCCCTGCACTCTCCATTTCCTCTCTGATTTATTTTTTTTCTAAATAATTCTCAACTTCTGCTGTAATAAATATTTTAACTTTATTGAGGTACAATTTACATGCAGTTAGGTGTACAAATTTTAAGTGCATTAAGAGTTAGTTTCATTGCAGAGTAACATCAACTGTGTAAACATGCGACATTGTGTTTATTCATATTTGATAGGTAATTGGGTTATTTCCAGTTTAGGACTATCATAAATAAAGGCATTATGAACATTCTTTCATAGTCTTTTTATGGAATTTGAATTTATCTTTAATAAATAATTATTAATGGGTCATTTTCTTTTTCTTTTAAATTAAATCTTTATTGTTCAGATTATTACAGTTGTTCCTCTTTTTTCCCCCCGTAGCTCCCCTCCACCCGGTTTCCAGCCCCCCTCCGCCCTCACCGCCCAACCCCCACTGTCCTCATCCATAGGTGTACGATTTTTGTCCAGTCTCTTCCCGCATCCCCCACACCCCTTTCCCCCCCACGAATAGTCAGTCCACTCCCTTTCTATGCCCCTGATTCTATTATAATCGCCAGTTTATTCTGTTCATCAGATTATATATTCACTTGATTTTTAGATTCACTTGTTGATAGATGTGTATTTGTTGTCCATAATTTGTATCTTTACCTTTTTCTTCTTCCTCCTCTTCTTAAAGGATACCTTTCAGCATTTCATATAATACTGGTTTGGTGGTGATGAACTCCTTTAGCTTTTCCTTATCTGTGAAGCTCTTTATCTGACCTTCAATTCTGAATGATAGCTTTGCTGAGTAAACTAATCTTGGTTGTAGGTTCTTGCTATTCATCACTTTGAATATTTCTTGCCACTCCCTTCTGGTCTGCAAAGTTTCTGTTCAGAAATCAGCTCACAGTCGTATGGGTACTCCCTTGTAGGTAACTGACTGTCTTTCTCTTGCTGCTTTTAAGATTCTCTCTTTGTCTTTTGCCCTTGGCATTTTAATTATGATGTTTCTTGGTGTGGTCCTCTTTGGATTCCTTTTGTTTGGGGTTCTCTGTGCTTCCTGGACTTGTAAGTCTATTTCTTTCACCAGGTAGGGAAGTTTTCTGTCATTATTTCTTCAAATAGATTTTCAATATCTTGCTCTCTCTCTTCTTCTAGCACCCCTATAATTCGATGTTGGTGTGCTTGAAGCTGTCCCAGAGGCTCCTTACACTATCTTCGTATTTTTGGATTCTTTTTTCATTTTGCTTTTCTGGTTGGGTGTTTTTGCTTCTTCGTATTTCAAATCTTTGACTTGATTCTTGTGATCCTCTAGCCTGTTGTAGGAACTCTGCATAATATCCTTTATTTCAGTCAGTGTATGCTTAATTTCTAGTTGGTCCTTTTTCATAACCTCGAGGGTCTCACTAAATTTCTTGAGGGTCTCACTACATTTATCGGCGGTCTCACCAGACTTTTTGAGGGTCTTACTAAATTTATCAGCGGTTTCTAGAAAGTTCTTGAAAAACCTTGAAAGTGTGATTTTGAACTCTATATCCAGTCATTTGCTTTCCTCCATTTCTGTCATTTGTGTCCTGTTTCTTTGTCTCCACATTTTTTATGCTTCCCTGTGTTGATAGAGTGGCTTTCTGTGTTAGGTGTCCCATAGGGCCCAGTGGCTCAGCCTCCCCAATTACCTGAGGTGGACACTCTTGGTGCATCCCTTTGTGAGCTTTGTGCACAGTCTTGTTGTAGTTAAGCCTTGATTGTTGCAGGTATCACTGGGAGGAATTGACCTCCAGGCCAATTGGCTCTGAGAATCAGCAGTGTCTACAGGGGGAGAACTTCTGTACTGGAGACACCCTTCTGGGGCAAGACTTGCTTCACGCCGCCGCTGCAACCATCTGGCGGCTGCCGCAGCAGCCGTTACCCGGCTGTGGTCCAGAGCCCCGCGGCTGCCGAGCGAGGGGCCTCCACGGCCGCCAAGTCCAAAGCCATTTCCATCCTGCAGAAGAAGCCTTGCCACCAGCCGCTCCTGCCGTCTCTCTCCTCCTTCTTCTTCAGCCACCGGCTCCCAGACATGACAGCCATCATCAAGGAGATCATTAGCAGAAACAAAAGGAGATACCAAGAGGATGGATTCGACTTAGACTTGACCTATATTTATCCAAACATTATTGCTATGGGGTTTCCTGCAGAAAGACTTGAAGGTGTATACAGGAACAATATTGATGATGTAGTAAGGTTTTTGGATTCAAAGCATAAAAAACATTACAAGATATACAATCTATGTGCTGAAAGACATTATGAAACTGCCAAATTTAACTGCAGAGTTGCACAGTATCCTTTTGAAGACCATAATCCACCACAACTAGAACTTATCAAACCCTTTTGTGAAGATCTTGACCAATGGCTAAGTGAAGACGACAATCATGTTGCAGCAATTCACTGTAAAGCTGGAAAGGGACGAACTGGTGTAATGATTTGTGCATATCTGTTACATCGGGGCAAATTTTTAAAGGCACAAGAGGCCCTAGATTTCTATGGGGAAGTAAGGTCCAGAGACAAAAAGGGAGTAACTATTCCCAGTCAGAGGCGCTATGTGTATTATTATAGCTACCTGTTAAAGAATCATCTGGATTATAGACTAGTGGCACTGTTGTTTCACAAGATGATGTTTGAAACTATTCCAATGTTCAGTGGCGGAACCTGAAATCCTCATTTTGTGGTTTGCCAGCTCAAGGTGAAGATATATTCCTCCAGTTCAGGACCCACACGTCGGGGAGACAAGTTCATGTACTTTGAGTTCCCTCAACCATTGCCTGTGTGTGGTGACATCAAAGTAGAGTTCTTCCACAAACAGAACAAGCTAAAGAAGGACAAAATGTTTCATTTTTGGGTAAATACATTCTTCATACCAGGACCAGAGGAAACGTCAGAAAAAGTAGAAAATGGAAGTCTATGTGATCAAGAAATTGATAGTATTTGCAGTATAGAGCGATCAGATAATGACAAGGAATATCTAGTACTCACTTTAACAAAAAATGATCTCAACAAAGCAAATAAAGACAAGGCCAATCGATACTTTTCTCCAAATTTTAAGGTGAAGCTGTACTTCACAAAAACAGTAGCGGAGCCATCAAATCCAGAGGCTAGCAGTTCAACTTCTGTAACACCAGATGTTAGTGACAATGAACCTGATCATTATAGGTATTCTGACACCACTGACTCTGATCGAGTGAATGAACCTTTTGATGAAGATCAGCATACACAAATTACGAAAGTCTGAATTTTTTTTTTTTATGAAGAGGGATAAAACACCATGAAAACAAACTTGAATAAACTGAAAATGGACCTTTTTTAGGACATTGTGTCAGATTACCAGTTATAGGAACAATTCTCTTTTCCTGACCAATCTTGTTTTACCCTATACATCCACAGGGTTTTGACACTTGTTGTCAAAAAAAAAAAAAAAAAAAAAAAAAAAAAAAAAAAAAAAGACTTGTTTCAGTGGGGCTTTGGTGCTCACTGAGTCTGTCCCCTGAGTGTGTCCCTTATGGATCTGAGGAGTTGTAATCTGAATGGTCCCACTCTGATCACTGGGTACACTGGCTCTTTGATCTAAGGAGGTGCTAATTTAGCCTCTGCCTGAGGCTACCCAGCAGGAGCTACGAAGAGATCTACAGATTCCCCTTCCTTGTTTGGGGCTTGGAGGTGCCCAAATGAGGCCCAGCTTTGAAGCAATGTAAGCTGCTGTGGGATCTTGGGTCTTCTCTTGGAAGTTCTGGGTCTGTCTGGCCCAGCTGCAGTTTGTTAGGTAATTTTCAGATTGCAAAGGGCCAGGCCATTCATATGCAAAAGCCTCTGCTGCAGCTTGGGTGGGGCGGGGTCTCAGGGGGTCAACAGGGCAGAGCAAGCAGCTATGGCTGATCCTCAGCCCTGCCCTAAGGGGCCCCGCCTCTCAGTGTCCCGGTAATTGCTGCAAGCATCTCCCAAGAGAAAGCTGCCCTTGAGTTCTGAGTTCTGCCTGCTGCCAGACCGTCCAGTCTCTCCCTGCACGAGTCCGGGTCCCCAGAGACTTCCCGGAACTGGAGTTCAGAGCAGTCGGGGGCTTGTGACTCCCTCCTGATTCAAAGAGACAGCCTCGTCCTCAGTCGACAGCCCTTGCCACCTGTACCTCCGTACCTCTGGACTCCACCTCTGCAGCTCCTCTGAGTCTCAGTGTGCTTTTCTCTTTCCTTCTAGTTGTAGAATTTCCACTCAGCCAGCCTTCCTGTAGTTCTGGATGATGTCTGTTTTGTCTTTTAGTGGTATTTTTTAATTTCTTGTGGGAGGCAGCAATTTCTGGTGTTTACCTATGCCACCGTCTAGGTTTTTCCTCAATGGGTCATTTTCTTAGGTCTCTTCCCTAGGCTTGTATATGGCTGCCTTCTCATGTCCTCACATAGTCACCTCTGGGTTGGTGTGCTGTCTGTGTCCAGATTTCTCTTTTTATAAAGACACCTATTGTATTATATTATGGCCCACCCATATGACTTTATTTTACCTAATTACCTCTTTATTTTTTGTTTTTTAAAAAAATAAATTTTATTGATTTTTTACAGAGAGAAAGGGAGAGGGAAAGAGAGTTAGAAACATTGATGAGAGAGAAACATCAATTCAGCTGCCTCCTGCACACTCGCCACTGGGGATGTGCCCACAACCAAGGTATATACCCTTCAGTCTGCAGGCCAGCGCTCCATCCACTGAGCCAAACCAGCTAGCCCACCTAATTACCTCTTTAAATGCTTGATCTCCAAGTAGGGTCACATTCTGAGGTATAGGGGGTTAGGACTTCAATATATGAACATAACATCTTATCATTAAAACATTCAATTCTTGAACATGATATATATCTTTCCATTTATTTGTTATCTTTAATTTCTTTCAGTATTTTGTAATTTTCAATGTTCAGGTCTTGCACATATTTGGTAATCTAAATGTAAATATTTGCATTTAATATCATGGGTACTATTATTAAGAGCATTCTTTTCCAATTTAATTTTTAATTTCTAGTATATAGGAATTCAATACATTTTTGCATGCTGATCTTTTACTAGTAAACATAATTGCTAAACTCACTTATGCTTGTAGCCTTTTTTAATATGTGGATTCCTAAAGATTTTCTACAAATAATCATGTTGTTTGTGAATAAATACTGGTTTATGTTCTTGTTTACAATCTGATGTTTTCATTTATTTTTCTTGCCTGGCTGCACTTGCTCGTACCTCCTATACAATGCGAAACAGTAGTGGTGAGAACATTCTTGTCTTGTTGCTGATCTGAGAGGGAAAGTATTTAGTTTTTCACCATTAAATAGCTCTATTTTTTAAAAAAATATAGATGACCTCTATTAGCTTGAGAAATCTCTATTGTTGCTTTACTGAGTTGAATTGTGTTTGCTGATGTTGAATTAATTATGTCAAGTTAATTTTTTTGTATCTATTGAGATGATCATTTGGTTTTTCTCCTTTATTTTCTTACTGTGATTAATTGAGTTGATTGGTTTTTGAGTGTTAAACCAACTTTACATTCCTGGGTACAAATTCCATATGATCAAATATTACTGGATATTATTTACTAATATTTTCTTTAAATTTTTGGCCAGTAATTTTTTTTCTTGTAATGTCTTTGTCAGCTTATAAATTCAGAGTTATGCAACCATGTAAAACAAGCTGAGAAGTGTTCTTTCACTTTCTATTTTTGGAAATATTTTCTGTAATATTGGTAACGTTTATTTAAAAAAGATTTGATAGAATATATAAAGCCATCTGGGAAGGCTTTGAATTATAGATCCCAGTTCCTTAACTGATACAGGGCTATTTATAGTTTCCATTTCTTCTTGTTTTAGCTCCAGTAATTTGTATCTTTCAAGGAATTTGCCCATTTTATGTATGCTGTCAATTTTAGTGGCATAAAGTTTTCATACTATTCCCTTATTATTTTAAATATGTATAAAACTTGTCATCATATTTCTTCTTTTTCTCATGATACTAGTAATTTGTGTTTTATCTTTACTGTTTTAAAATAGACTTTATTTTTTTTATTGATTTCAGAGAGGAAGGGAGAGGGAGAGAGAGATAGAAACATCAGTGATGATAGAGAATCATTGATTGTTTGCCTCCTGCACACCTCCTACTGGGGATGGAGCCTGCAATCTGGGTATGTGCCCTTGACAGGAATTGAACCTGGGACCTTTCAGTTCACAGACCAACACTCTATCCATTGAGCCAAACCTGCTAGGGCTAGACTTTATTTTTGAGAAGTTTTAGGTTTAATAAAAAATTAGTGTTAAGTAAAGAGTTCCTATATACTCCCTCCAATTTCACATTATTATTAACAGCTTTCATCAATGTCATTCCCCTGTTAACAATGATGAGCCAATATTGATACATTATTATTGACTAAAGTTCACAGTTTACATTAGTGCTCACTCTATGTATTGTACTTTCTATGGGTTTTGACAAATGTGTAATGATCCATATCCACCCTGAAGGTACCATACAGTGTAGTTTCACTGCCCTAAAATTTCCCTGTGTTCCACCTATTCATCTCTCCTTTCCTTCCTCTAAACACCTGGCAATCACTGACCTTTCTACTACCTCTATTGTTTTGCTTTTTCCAGGATGTCATATATTTGGAGTCATTAAGTATGTAGTCTTTTCAGATTGGTTTATTTCACTTAGCAATATGCATTTAAGGTTCCTTCATGTTTTCTTTGTAGCTTGATAGCACATTTCTTTTTTAAAAAATTGTCTTTCCACAGGCTTACCAATTAATATTTTCAAAGAAAAAAATTGTGGTGTTATTTCTCTGCTTTATATTTCACTACGATGAGAAAGCATATGGTGTGTAATTTTGTTTCTTTGAAACAAAAGTACAAAGACTTGATATAGTTTGTATGATTCACATTGATGAATGTCCTATATGTACTGGAAAAGAATGTGTATTCTCTGCTCTGGTTGGGTGACATATTCTACTAATGTCACATAGGTCAAAGTGATTGATAGAGCTATTTCAGTTTTCCATATCCTTACTGCTTTCCTGTCTACTTCTCCAACTATAATTGTGTGTTTCTCCATTTTTCCTTCTATTTGGATCAGGTTTGACTCCATATATTTGAAGCTCTGTTGTTGGGTACATACTTGTTAACTTTTGCTATGTCTTTTTATGAACTGACACATTTATCATTATCAAACATCTTTTTCTAATTTTCTGTAATATCCTTGCTTTAAATTTCACTTTGATACTAATATAGCCAAACAAGCTTTTGCATGTTTACATTTGCATGGTATATGTTCTTTAGTCCTTTCCCCTTCCACTACCTGTATCTTTATATTTAACTGTGTCTTTTATAGTTCTATTTCACCTTATATCCAGTTTGAAAGTCCATATTTTTTAATTATTGTATGTACACATTTATGTTTCATGCAATTATTCATATTGCAGAGTTTAAATCTACCATTTTGCTATTTATTTTCTATTTGTTTTCAATGTTCTTTGTTCCTATGTTTCTAGCCTATTTTAGAATAATCAGTATTTTTATTGTTCCATTTTCCTTTCTCTACTTTTGTTAGCCCATTTGTCTTTTATTTTTAATAACAGCTTTATTGAGATGTAATTCACATACTATAAAACCCACCATTTTAAAATGTACAATTCAGTGGTTTTTATTATATTCAGAGTTGTACAATCTAACAATTACCACTATCTAATTTTAGGATCTTTCCTTCCTAGCTGGTTTGGCTCACTGGATAGAGCCTGGACCTGCAGATGGAAAGGTCTAAGGTGGCGGTTCTCAACCTGTGGATCACGACCCCTTTGAGGGGGGGGGGGGGGGGGGGGGCGGTGTCGAACGACCTTTCACAGGTTGAGACCATGGGAAAACACATATATGATTACATATTGTTTTTGTGATTAATCACTATGCTTTAATTATGTTCAATTTGTAACAATGAAATTGGGGGTCACCACAACATCAGGAACTGTATTAAAGAGTCACGGCATTAGGTAGGTTGAGACCACTGGTCTAAGGTTTATTTCTACCTCAGTTGCTGGCTCCTACCCAGCCTGGCCCTGGTCCGGGCTTGGGCAGGAGGCAACCAACTGATGTGTTTCCCTCACATCAATATTTCTGTCTTTCCCTCTCTCCCCCACTCTCTCTAAGCATCAATGGGAAAATATCCCCGGATGAGGATTTAAAAAACAAACCAAGGTGGGTAACCTGGTCAGAAGGTCAAATCTTCAAAGTGCATGCAAGCTGCT